TCATGGCATTTAATCTAGCCAGATTGGCAAACTGAGCGATGGAAAAACAACGAGCGTATTGGACACTTCTATTCATGCTCTATCCATAGACAAAACAAACAATGCTTTTTTAATTATGCCATGCAAATCTTTACCCGTAGAAAGAGCAATATCAGTAGTTTTAAAAGTAGTAGCATTTAAACTATGGATAGGTTTATATTTCGCCTTAAAATCCATTAGTTCTTAAATTTTTTCCGTATTCAAATAAGAAAAAAAAATACCAATTGTTATCAACGCACTTAGTGACCATTCCTCCACCGAAATTCATACACCTACGTAAATTACTCAGCGAGCTTTTAACAAATTGAGGTCAATGCTATAGATACGTACATTTTAAATAAGCTCTCCAGGCCTATCCTAATACGATAGGAAGAAACAATTTACGTCTGAAACCACAAGAAAAATAAATGAAAGCTCATTGCCTTCTTTGTGGTGATTCGTTAAGTAAAAGTACTCGCTCTATCGTATAGACACATAGGGAAAAATGCTGTTTCTGATAAAAAGAATCGCTTACGAATAATAATCAGAATACCAATAACGAAATCGTGATGAATATTCGAATGAGAATTGAAATCTTCTCAGAGATCAAACTGAAATTTCGTTTTATTGAATAAGTACAGACAGATATCAAGTGTTTATCGAGGTAAGGGTCGGACAGGCGCGTCCGATGGAGAGAGGGAGTACATTTTATAATGCAGTTTCTTGTTCCTCCGATGGTAATTACGTTCGCTCATCTCCGGACTTCCATCGATACGGGGCACGGTGAATTAGCAAAAAATAATCATCAAAGTGCCGCCCGGCAATGTTTCGATCTCAGATCGAACGATTGCGAACACCGCAGCGTAATTATATTAAACGTATGTTGAGTTCATGAGCTCAATGTACCCTAATATAAGTCTTAAGTACGGACATTACATCATTATAAAATAAATTACATATTCCTACATTCTTATTCTTCATAATTCTTCGAATCATCTTTATAGGTAAGTAAGGAATTTATCTTTGTATGTGAGTAAACAAATCTTATTGTGCGACCACAAATTGTAACATTGTAACAAAAATAAATCTATTTATTTACTAAATATTTTGGAGAATCCAAGTTTTGAGAAACCGAAATTTGAGTGGACAAAGAATTGTCACTGTGGGCAAGTGCCAAATAATTAAGTACATATGTATATCAATCGTGTGTAATTTTTTTCGTAAGGCAAAGAATGAAGAAATTCAACCAGTAAGAATCGAAATAGCAGCGTGGCACCAATGTCTACATAGACAGCTCTATAAGAGCAAAGTAGCAAAAAATTAATAGCGTAATACACTACTGCTTATTACTGCGTACTGCGTTTACGGTAAGTTTTATATATATAACTTATATGGACCTAAACTGACGCTGTTGTAAAATACAGATTAAAAAGTTAATATTTTATCGAAATGTTTGTGCAGTGCCAGTTAGTAACTGTAATTTAGGAACATTTATTTTCAACATTTATACGGATTTACGATTCTTATTAATTGTAAATAGATATTTTTCTAATAATTTACATGTTTATGATAATAAAATCCTTTTGACGGCTTTTAGGAATATTTTGTAACGGTTTTGTATTAGTTTTACATACTTACGCTACATTTTGATACATTCGAAAACGATATTAAGTCGAAAATAGGTACTTATTCTTTAAGTTATTCTAATAACCAAGTATTGTTAAAACAATAAGACTTAAAATTCGGATAAATTAATATCGAATAGCGTTATAAGTATGTTGTATATGTTACGAGAAAGTAGCAGGTGGATATTTTTACCTTTTATGTGTTCAAGTCAACGAACATGGCTAAAAATTGTACGATAACGTTAACAAACCAAACGGATGACTTCACTCGCAGCCGTCGAGGAGCATCTCCTTTGAAGTACGCAGCACAAAGCATCGTGTTTATTGCCATTGTTGTGTTACGCCATGCAACTCTTACGGAACACCAGACAGCAATGTACATAGAAGAATGGGTTAAAGCAATTCACATGGTAAATACCATAACCGTACTGACAGATACTACCTTGTTTGAATAATTTATTATTCAGTTTTTTGTTTTCTGTACAATTACAACTCAAAGTAGGACACTTCCGGAAGCTCCTAACAAATATTTAATAAGTTATGGTAGACGTTCATTACAATTTTAACATCTGAGATGTTTTAAGAAAAAAATAATAAAACCGAGTGATGGATAACACGGATCATATATCATTTAACAGTGGTAGAGCCCGCTTTAACATCTTCGCACGAACTGGCCCGGCTCGCCCGGTGAAATACCACGACCACACAGAAGAGAGGTGTGAAACGGAAGCAATTCCGCGTTGCGTCTGATGAGTGTGCGTCCCGGAGACCTAATTTAGTCCTCTTTCCCTTTCCACCCTTTTTCTTATGAGGATGGGTTGGCAAGTGGAAGTGGACTTTCCGGATGAGAGGATTCATGGAAAGGGAAGATATTTTCTTTCTGTGCATCCTCTTCTCCGGCGATTAAAGGTAGGCAACGCATATGCAATTGCGTATGTCTATGAGCAACGGTCACTTCGCTATTTCAGCGATTTCAGGTGGCCGCTCACTCGTTTGCCGCCTTATATAAAAAAATATAAAGAATACAATAAAACAAATTGTCATTTATGAACTATTTTCTTATTATTTATGTAGACTATAGCTTCCCTCGGCTTCAATAATACAAAATACACAAGAAGGCATGTATAACTAAGTAACATGCTAACAAACGTTACATACACAATGAATCTCATCCACCAGCTATCCAGATAGTTGTCAATGGTCGCCCATAACGCAGTGAAAATAATGTTTTCAATAGTACAAGTCAAGATCCATACCATATGCCAGACTCTAACATGTCGAAAACGTATTTTAAATTCCATTAAACAAAACAAATAAATAAAAGCGAGGAACACATAAAAAGCTCGCTTCACCGTTGGCGCTTGGGGAACGATTAAAAACAATAACGTCACTTGATAGTGAGAGAACAGGATTATAATTGCGACAAAAGGAAAGAAATTAATGAACGCTGCGATAGACAGCAATCTTGCAATGAAGAAGGCGTACCAGCCCAAGTATTGCACGAGGCCAGCTGTCATGTCCTGAGGTTCGAGGCCACGGACAAATGATCTTGGCACTCGACGAGGAATGTCAGGCTCTGAATGAACTATTTCCCAATGCTTTCTCCTAGGTGGAGCTGACAACCAGGTAGGTATATTTTCCGCGTTTTCTACAAACTTCTCAGCCCATTGCGCTAATGAAGCAGGTCTCGGTGCGTCCATTGCTGGCGGAGGCGGAACGTACACTTTTTCGATAACATATTCCCTTGTTTGCCGCCGAGGTGCTACTCTATCAATTATTGTAATTGGACGAACGTATTCGTCGTCGCTTTCAAGATTCTCATTGGTACGATGATCTGTTGTGGCTAAAAAGCTTGAATCAGAATCTGAGTCGAACGCACTATCATTATAGAAAGAAGACGCCATCTCTGAATTTCGTGGCGAAAATTGAATTAAATCATCGTTTGCCCCGCTTCTGCTATTTCTGGATTTATCAGAAATGCTAGATTGCCTTTTAATAGTTTCGTAAATATGTTCTGATTGTTTATCTTCATTATTTTGAACAGCTTTGTTTTCATTATAAAAATTTTCCATTTTTTCTTTGTCGTTCCATGGATATTTGCGACCGCATATTTTCTCTCTTTCAAATCTTCGGTAAAAAGTGGCGGTACTTGCCATTCGCATACACGACACAATTATGCTGATAGCTTGTATTGAACCTGAGGAATTTAAAAAAATATAAAGTTAAAGCGTATTTAAAATAAAAGTTTCAGCGTGCTGCAATAAACGGAGGCATCAGATAATTAATTTTTTTCATTTGAGTACCTTTGTCGAAAGTTGGATTTGAAAATCGCCACATAAGGTCTAAAATGTTAACAATCGCATGAGGCGCCGAATGTATAAAAGCTTGCATGAACAAATACAGCTCAAGCGGTGAAGCAGCCCTTGCTAATGACAATGCTTCCTCAGTTCGTTCCTCATCATTTGAATACGAAGCAAAGACAGATTCCGTCCACCAGAAAATTAGATAACAATACCTGAAATAGAAATATTAAAACATTTCTTGTTCTTGTATGTGTTTAACAACGTTTCTTAACAATTCGATTGTCCATGGTATTGAAACATAGGTAATACTAACCTGCCAATAGCAGCAATAGGAAAAAATACAGCATTTATAATTTGCATTAAAACCCATTTGATATCATTTTTCTCTATGGTCAATGTAAATGCTGTTAATTCAGTTTGTAGGCTTGGAGGCGGTGATGCCAACGTAAACACTAATGAGAGTACAGCCGGGAAAACCATCAGGACAATACAAAACACTGCAAGTCTGAAATAAAAGTGTGCCATTTAGTAATCTGACCGTCAGACTAAAAACTAGCATTGTAAATTGTCCAGATACTAAATCTTGAGTTATTAAAGAAACTTCTAATACGCAGAAATGTGAAAGTTAAAAAACATTATTTACCCGTCATCACCATTTCGAAAATGTTCATATATGAGTGTAATATCGTAACAAATAACCGTCAAGTAAACAATAAGCCCCCCACATGATGGCAGAACCCGGTGTAAGAAGAGTGCCTGCCATGCGGGTAGCTTCTTGCCCAATATTTCCCCTGAAACTTCTTTGTCTAATTCACAAACTACCATTGTCACTGCTTACACTACGTTACAAACATTATATTCAACTAGAAAAGAAAGAAGAAGTTTTACACAGTTTTTATAGTCTAATTAGCTATAACTAAATATGTAACAATTAACTTAAATATACTCTGTTAAATGTATTCTTGTACGATTTTACAAAGTAGAAAAACGTGAATAAAACAAAACTTAACAATGTTTTCCCCACGCCCATTGATAATTTCCGATTAGATAAAACTCTTTTGACTCAGAATGATAACAACGATGGCATACTTTTATTGTACAATACCAATAGATAACTTTGTGTCCTTTTTCTGTACGAACTGAATTTCAGTAGCTAAATTTATGTATTATTCAATATCACTAAGTTTAATACGGTATAATCACATATTAGAGGAAAAATAATTATTAAACTACAATCTTATTATTTCTGCCTTTCTTAAGATATTTCTTCATTCAATTACTATTTGATGATACCTACTCTTTCTGTTTTAATTCACTACGAGTAAAGAAATTTAAACATAACGTTAATATTTAGTTGTGGCTTAATACGGTTTCAATTTAGCTCGTGTTGTGTAAGTGTTTTTATGTTAAATGTGTTCACAGATTAATCCTTTTTAATAATACTTGATAACTCTAGTTCGACGGCAATTAATTTGGAAATAAAGTCGATGAATAGTCCACGAAAGTGTTCTTTGTTTATCGGAAATTCTTGTTTCCATTTTCATCTTTCAAGATAATGTCACTGTCACGCTGTCAGGTGTCAACCATCAAAAGTAAAATTTATAACCTATAACATGCAAAATAAATAATGGTAAAACAAAAATTGTAATTGAAATAAATAAAATAAAAAAAAAAACGAAATGTTTAAAAGTGTTTTAATATCAACAGTAACTAATTTTTGTAAATACAATACTAGTCTAAAATGTAAATACAATGTGAATAGGTTCACAAGATTTCTACATCAAACGGTTGTATTTGAAAGTCCAAGAAATGTATCAAAAGACAAATCCTTCCCCTCAGCTATATCTCGAAAATATGAAGTTCTTAATGAAACAAATTTACCCGTAATAGAACATACTGCAGATGAAATTCACATGGATGAAAAATATCCAATTCTTAGCGATGAGTTCGATGGAATTAATCTTGAAAGTGAGTAAATGTTTTTTATTTTTGATATCGTGTCTTGTCGGCAACTAATTGATCAAAATAACACAATTCTATTGAATTTACTAATGTTACCTACATGGTCTAATTAAGAAAACTAAAAGTTCTGGCCGTTTCATGACTATTTATAACAGATTTATGACTAAATTTATAATAATCCATACAACAGTTGTCTAACAGTATTTTCTTTATAAATAACAAATTCATGTGTATTTTTCCGATTGCAGGAGGAAAAAATGGAGTGTTTGAAATTGAAGATCTTGTTGAGTTATTGCAGAGAGAGAATTCCAAAAATATCTTTGTAGCTTCTGTACCAAAGGAAATTAATTACGTAGAATACATTTGTGTTGTTAGTGGCCGCAGTAAGAGGCATATAAAAGCATTAGCAGAGTTTGTACGGAAGGTTTACAAGAAAAAATGTTACAAATCCGATCACATACCTAGGATAGAAGGAAAAGATTCTGATGAATGGATGGCCTTAGATTTAGGTAGGTACATACATTAAAATTCTTATTATAAATTGGTTATTGCAAAAACAGGAATTGATTTCTACCCATTGGGTAAAATTCTACCCTAATTCATTATCAAAAAAACATTTTTTTTTAAATGAAACAGTTTGACAACTTACATTTTTATAAATGATTCAATGTTATTTTTTCCAGGTAACATAGCTCTTCATATATTCTCAGATAAAGCTCGAGAAGTTTATGACTTGGAGACTCTTTGGGCAGTCGGTCCAGAGTATGATGAGAAAATGAAACAGAAAAGTGATGTTGTAGATATATTTGAAAACTACAGTTCATATTTAAAAGATCTAAAACCTCTAGAGTGAAATTTATTGAATGTAGCTTTTTTAATGAACATTTTTAAGATAGGTAATGAGTAGATTTTTAAGACAAATCTATAATAAAACATAAACAATATAAATCAATGTAAAAAATAATAATTTGTTTTATTGAATTATAATAGTTACAATTATTTTTTTGGGTCTTTTTTCTTATTTTTAAACTTAGATTTTTAATTATAAGAATCCAAAACAATTGTTGGTCTAACTCTTAGTAGTAAATATGGTTTACGGTACTGAACATCTGGTGCATATTTTGCATGATGCCTAACTATTAAGCTATCTAATGTTATAAAGAATCTATGAGAGATGAATGAAGAAAAATGAAGTGAAACCCAATTATGTTTTCAGTAGCATGTCCAAGCAAATGGAGTGCTAATATTAACCAACCAAATGTGAGCAAAGCTTAACTTTGCTTCTATGGACTCACAAAGAAAGATTAACTAAAGTAAATATTTGTAGAAACAAAATAATGTTTAATCAAGGTAAAAAAAAATATTTGCATAGAGGCCGACCAACTGGTACGGTCTATTTCAAAGGCAGGCACAATTTCTTATTCAAAATATCAAACTATTCTATTAGTGCATATTTTTTTCTCTATTATTCTACTTATTAATAAACAAGATAATCTGTGTATTCACTTTATGATAAATTCTTAGCATTCATAACATAGTTTACAGATTTTAACATGTACTCTTGCTTTGTCATCATCTCCCTGACATGCCACTTACAAAGGATTAGTTCACCAGGTTTTCTTCCTCCATATCAAGCTATTTTCTGCCATCTCACTACCTTCTTGATCTTGTCTATTTTCATGCAATCCATTTGTGTTAAACTAGGACTACATAGAGGTGCCCTCCATAATCACAACTCTTGGGTGTATCTGTGTGTTTTTTTTAATTAAAAAACAGTGTGAAAGTCTCATATAAAATGTTTATTTTGCTTAATTTATATTAATGATACATAAAATATTGGTTGTATAACATAATCTAGATAGTTATGAATTATTTAATCAATTCCTATTTTAAAAGAACATAAATGTTAACATCATATTGTGAACATTTAAAGTATATATCAAATGTACAATTTAATTAATTGTTGACTATCAATTTACATGATTTTCATTTACAAATTAATTTGGCATAATTTCATATACACGCTATCTCAGATGTCTAAATGCAATAAAATAATGTAAAATAATTAAAAAAAAACGATAACTACATTCATACCACAATCACATAAACTTCAGTCATAATACAAATGCACAATTTTACTCTAACATTATACCTAAGATGTTTAGTTTTCAAAGCCAATATTTCTACTGTGTCAAAATATAAAAAATATGAGCTGATATAGGATAAAGAAACTTGTTAATAGATTTAAGTAGAAAAACTGTAATTATCAGTAATATAGAAAAATTATTGGACCACATTACAAGTCTTTCTTTCTTAATTATCCCATTTAATATTGTATGACCACAAAATATTAATACAACTGTTACAGTATTTGTGCATTTTAGTAATATTTCTTAATTATATATCAATTAGGAATTGGAAATAAAATGAAAATATATTCAAATACTTTTAAGAAATTACGAATTTTATACCTAATAATTATTAGCATTTTCATGCACAAATACTAAAGCAATGTGCCAATTAGTTGTATAAAAAAATTATGCAAAACTTTCTAAATACCTATTGGTATGTGATTTTAAATTTTGATACAAAAATTTTGGCTCATGACTAAATTTTTAAGACAATATGGCCACACTACGCCTCACACCAGCACCTGAATTGACATTATCCAAGCTGGACCACTTTTTAATACCATTCTTTACTATTTCAGCAGATATCTTGTCTTCCATTACTCGGGACATGGCTTCTAGCTTTTGTGCCCTCTCCTTACTTAATGGCTCACTGGGAAAAGCTAAGTCATTAGCTTCAGCAAGTGTGCGCAGATCAAAGTAATACTTAGCATAAACACTTGAGGGCACATTGATGTTAAACTGCAACATCTCTAGAAACTGTCGTTCCAACTCATTCATATCTTCAACTGTAATGTCCTTGAGAATTTGACAGTAGTCCACATTCCAAACAGCTTGGTCATCCCAAACTTTACTTGCTAATAAAATTGCACCCAGAACTATTCTCTTCCAATTTGAAGGAGCAATATCTAAATCAGCACATATAAGAAGTCTTTCTAAGTACACCAATGTAATGATAGCACATTCTGCTGTTAACTGGGCAGCATTAAATAATGTTCGAACAAATTTATAAATTTGTTTATGCTCCGGGTTATATCTGTCATAGTCATCGCTGACCCCATCTTTACTGAGAGGATGTAACTTTTCATCAAATATGTCTAACCTACGTTCAGATGTTCGATTTTTTATGTGGTAATAAATTGCCAGTGCTACACATTTAACAGTGTTTTTCAAGTTTGGCTGGGAGACTGTGCTATCATCTAAGTAAATCGTCGAACAGGAACTACTTTTCTTCAACTTATTATCTGCTATTTGATGTTGGCTACGCTTTCTAGTCATACCATTCTCAATTGAAGCTTTGGATCTTTCCATAAATATAGTACCTGCTATAGGATCTTGGGAAGGATCAATATCTCCATCATCGGGTTCTCTTTCACTTATATGCTGTATGTTATTAGAACTTAAGTCTCCCTCCTGAGGATATTCCTCTAACTTTACGATATCTTTCCTGATTGGAGACGGGCTGCGGTAACAGCAGCAACTGTTTTGGTTTCCCATTTTATACGTAAATTCAGACCTTTAAACAACTAATTATCATTCTGCAAACTCCAACACACTTTTAGTCACGCATAAATAAAGTGCCGATTCGCAAAGGTGACATATAAGGCCCATAATATCTGAAACAAAAGTCATGAATATTCTATAACATACATAGTATACGGTATTAAATCTATTTGTAATATGAAGAACGTAAATAATTTTGTACCTTTATCATTCTGTAGTTATATTTCAAAATAAATCATTCTTATAAATTAAGAACAACCTTAAACAGAATTCATTTCTTAACTTTGACAGAAGCAAAGCAAGATCAAGAAGCAAGCGAACGTCATTTTGAAACTGAATAACAAAGAGTATATAAAATAATGTAGTTAAAATATAGATAATAACTAATAATAGAATATAAATTATAATAGAATATACTTTATAAGATTGCACAGTGGCCTCAAAATACGTTCTAATCAAATTCTTTCAACTTAAGTTCAACTTCTAGAAAGTGCAAGAAGTCGATTGTTCATAATGTATTGTTATACCATGTTAGTTTACAAGCAAGGAAAATTATCCATGAGTCTGTGAATAAAAATAGGACACGAAATAAAAAGTTGTACGTGGCGGGGTATTAATAAACTAATAAGAAAAATCAAAATTTTGTTTCTATTTTGTTAAATTAAAATGAAAAAAATCGAAATTTAAATGCACTTGAACCAAGTCTGGACATAGACAAGCATAGAACTTTTTAATTCCTACACTGTATACTCTTTGGTTGAAAACAATAATCCAACATGGCTGAAAATAAGCTTGTGCTTCTGTTTTTTTGCACAATCTAATTTCGTGTAACGATTTATATTTCATCAAATTTCCTATTAAAAGTGGTAAGTTTTTATTGAAAAACAAATAATATAATTCATTGGCACAAGAAAGTAATATAATTTGATTGTTATAGGTAAAAATGCGCCGTAAAAGAGAAAGAAGTGCCACTGCTAAACCTAAAGCTTCACCGGAAAAGAAGGTAGAGAAGGTTAGGCGCACAAGAGGTAGGCGTAGAAAGCAATCTACATCTTCCGGTAATGAATCTTGTGAAGAAGTTATCGCAGCATTAGTACCAGAAAACGTAGCTGAACCTGCTGAAACCGACGTGCCACTATCAAATAAAGAGGAAAGTCCGCCAGAGACACAAGACCAAGTGTGGCAAGTTAAAACTGCTGAAGGTTCTGGTGATGGAGGTGAAATACAAAAATTAAAAATTTGTTTAAAACGTCCTCCATCAACTCCTGAGGCGGGGGATAGATCTCCTCGAAGTAAGAGAAAACATACTCGAGCTACAAGTTCGAGCGATTCGATGATTGTCGACACACCAGAAGATAAAAGGAAGAATAGACACCGCACGAGGCGCTCAGTATGCGATTCAAGTGAAGCTGCTGAAAAAGGTAATGATACCGCGCATATCGGTTCAGATATAAGTATACAGAAAGAAATTGTAGTTGTAGATAGTGTTTCTACCAAAAACACAGAGGAACCAGAAGGGGAACAAGACTTACAAATTAAATCAAATTCGGTAACTATTATGTCAAATGAGGAACATCAGTCAAAAGAGGTTCCAGCTGAATCAAACGAAATAAAATCTGATTCTGAAGTTAATAAATCAGAAATGAATGATGAAAAGACCGTAACAGATGAGGTTAAAATGGAAGAAAGTGATGTTAAAACAGTAGACTCGGTAAAACCAGAAGTAACTGAGGTTTCAACTTCTAGTGAGTTGATAACTGAAACAATGGAGGGAAAAGAAGCCACGAGCGAGGTAAAAGTAGACTCAAGTAGTGTAAAAGAAGATTTGAGTGAGGCCAAAGAAGAATCGCCTGTGGTAAAGGAAAGTTTGAGTGAGGTTCAAAATGAGTCAACTAGTGAAAGTATACAAATTGTGGTTTGTTCAGAAAAAACAGATACTTCAAAATCTGAAACATGTAGCTCAGCCGCAGATAAAGTTGAAGTAGATAGCAAACCATCTGACAAAATTTCAGATGAAGAATGCAAACCATCTGAAAATATTTCAGATGTAGAGAGCAAACCATCTGAGGATGTTTCAAAGGAAAGTGACTCAAATAACGAAAGTATTCAAGAAAAACATGAGGCCACAGATACTTTAGAAAAAGATACAACACAAGAAGGAAGTGTGGCATTTGATAAATCTGATATACTTGAGATACATGCTGAAGAAAGTAAAGTGGATATTTCTGATCAAGAAATTACTGAAGCTCAAAATGATGTTCCAGGAAAAAAAGAACCAGAGCAAGCAATAAGCCGGGAGTCCGAGGATAAGGTAAGTAAATCTGAAGATAAAATGGTGGAAAGTTGTAAGGAAAATGGAGAACCACCTCAAAGTGAAATAAAATTGTCAACTAATGAACCTGATGTTGTAGCACAATCGGATAATGTAGTTAAGGAAAGTTCACCTAAAGAGCAAAGTGAAAATGCAGCTAATACTATGAAGAAAGTTCCGGAACGATCAGAATCTTCACAAGTAAACAATGAAGGGAGTAATAATTCAAATATTGTTATTAATAGAAAACGCAGGTGGGGTTCCCGTCCCAAATTGGCCACTCAAAAGTCAATAACAATTTCTACGGATGTTCTAAAGGAAATAATACCAGATGTTAAGCCGGTGGAGTTTGAAGAGGTTATTGAAGAAAAGAAACAAAAGAGGTTTGAGGTTACAGAAAAAATAGAGAGACCAATATTGCCCAAAATTGTGATTGACAACACAGAAAATGTGGAGCATAAAAGAAATCAAGAAAAGAATGAAATGGACAAACCAGTGAAAGAGATAAATAATTTAACTTCAAGTAGAAAGATCTCTATTGTCAAGGATTCTGAAAATGTCGCGGTGATTAGACCACCGAGCCCCCCAAGACATAAACAGACTAATATTTTGTATATAACAAACTTAGTAAGACCATTTACTTTATCACAATTGAGGAATTTACTACAAAGAACTGGAAGGATAACTGAAAATGGTTTCTGGATCGATAGAATCAAATCAAAATGTTTTGTCATATACGAAAATGAAGAGTAAGTGTTGCAGTGTTTCAGTATGTTTGTGTATTTTTTTATCTAAAAATAATTTTTATAATTTTGATTATTTTTTACAGCCAGGCAGTAGAAACGAGACATGCCCTTCATGGAGTGACATGGCCTGTATCAAATCCTAAAACATTACATGTAGATTTTTCCACTCAGGAAGATTTTGACCAAGCAAAGAGTAATGAAGAAAATGAAAACAATCAAGTGACAAGCATACCCGGCACGGTAGAAGATTGGCTGCGAGAACAGGATATGAAAAGAGAAAAAGGAGAATTGGTATGTTTATGAATAATAAATATAAATATTTGACTGCTCTGCACATCTTCATTCTATTGCTTTATTGATGCCTTTGATGATGAAAAACGGCAACAACCAACAGGCAACCTTAATATACCTTATAAATTTATGGCATATATTTTGACTTCAGGAAAGACCATGGGAGCGAAAGACGACGCGGGAATGGGATCTGGGCAAAGACGAAAAAGTTAAGGATAAAGACAAAGATAGGTTACATAAAGAGGACAGGGTTCTGGAAAAAAGGAGGCATCATACGCCAGAAAGGAGTCCTGAACCAGGTATTGATGTTATTTCATTATAAATTATAACTAAATAAAAAAATTACATGATATTAACATAATTTTTTGATAAAAATTCTAGCAAAGAAATTCAAGAAGAAAGAGGAGGCGCCCGCAAAACTTTTGGATGATCTATTCAGAAAGACAAAAACCACTCCATGCATTTACTGGTTGCCTCTGTCAGCTGAAACGGTAAGCTAATGTCATCTGAAAAGTAATTATTTTTTAGTTATTCAAATATGTTTAGATAAATATTTTTCTCAATGTATTACAGATTGCCATAAAGGAGGAGCAAAGACGTCAGCATATGGCTGAGCACGAAAGGCGACTGCAGGAACTGCGCCGCGGCTCACACCGCAGACATTAGCATGGTCCGTCCCACACATACACACACACACATTTAACACACAATTTTACTTATTGAAATACACTCACACAATAACATTCTTACATTTTTAATACCTTGTTTTTTGTCAATAATTTCTTTCAGAATTTTGCAGCAGTCAATGAATTTTATATCTTATTTTTGTTGGCTTCATAAATGAGTATTCTGTTTATATGTTTTACGTAATAAGCTTAGGTTAAAAAAATTGACGACCCATAAAGGATAATAATATCAAGAGATTCAACAGTTGGATTTATTTTACACAAAATGTTATAGAAAGGCACGATTGGAGGAAATCCAATGATTTTGAACGTCATCCCGCGAACGTGGTCGCGCGTGGCGAGCGGGGGCTCGCTTCGACGAGATGTAACGGAATTCCACTGGAGGAAAATCAATGTGTTGAAATCGACGTTCGTTTAATTTTGACCTCGTTCCAGTCATCAAGCAATCGTATAACTTTCTACAAATAATCGGTTGCAAAGATATGAATCATCATGATACTCAAACACCTCTGAAAAAACGATATTGAATGAAGATGTCTACATTACAAACTTTACTTCGGCAGTTAAGGGAGACTGGGAAATGTAGAAATGTAGTAAACGCATTATACCCAACTAAACCTGATGGACGTCTTGACTATAGGAGAATATGAAAGGATCCAGCGTTTAGGAAGGACTAAATTGAAAATAGTTATGTAGCCAGGAAAATCCTCGACTTTAATGAAAGTATGGGGACTGTATTGTATGTGTTGTAAATCCATTCCTTTGGTTATAATAAAGGATTTCCGACAAACTTTTCGTCTTTTAATTTCATAACCTCTAATAATATAATGGATTGACAAAGGATATACGATTTTCTTTTATAAATCTTTTTTGCCAATTTTTTTTTATAAATGTGTAATCACTCCATTATATTGTTACAAAAATACATCAAAGAAATATCGATAAAGATTGTGTATTTTTTACAACAGCCTTATATAGTTGTAAACTATGCCCGTTATGATAAAAAAAACTAGAGCCCCGTTGGGCCGACTTATCAGTAGGCCGGTAGGCCTAACACCCAAAAAAACGAGAACGAGAAATAAGATTGAGCTATATAGGCTACAGATATATAAAAATGGCTTAAATATAAGATCCAAAGGGTCATACTCTCATTGGTTTGGTTAAAAAAGGCTCTACTGAGCACTCTAACCCTAATAAAAATAGACATAATAGACTTCGCAAATTAGATTATGATGTTATAGGGATATTGTTAGTACTGAAATGTAATGGGTGAGTGATATAAATCGACCTATTAAAACGATTGTAAAATTTTAATAATTATCATTATCAATAGATAGTAAGTTATCGCTTGGATAAGAATAAGCAGTTTTATGATAGATTATTTGAGAACAGTCGCGTTGGCGGATCAAAACCGTCAACCGCTGTTTATTTAGGTAGAGGATTTTTATATAATCATAATGGTAAGTAAATGCAAACTGTTTTTAGACAATTTATCTTTAATTTTCATCTAGGTCATTTAACTAAATTTTTTGCTGTCAGTCTGCATCCCAGACTCCTAGTACACATAAATACTAAAAGTGTGCAAGCATGTGCGAATAATTAAAATTATCGCTTTAGATGGGAATGGGTTGACAAGTATGTTTTAGTGAGGTCCTGTTACAAAATGTTTCATAGACAATGAAAAAATTAAGGGGAAAAGACTATTTACTTATATCTTAATATTTATCTAGGATCTAGGGACGTTATTCGGCCGTCCAAGGTTCGACATAATTCCAAATCTTGCTTTACATAGTCGTATAAATCTTTTATTGATAAAAATATTTATAGTTCCGCGGTCCATGGTTTGTTTGGGCCGTGCTGGTAGCATTCGCAGCCGCACAAAGCCCATTTACTCTGGAAGAATTTGTTAGAGGCCAGTTTGCGCAAAGGGCATTTAATGGAACATGGATTTCAGGTAATTGATGCTGTTTGTTGACCCTACACAGTTTCTATTACCTAACGCAACAAAGAGACCTTTTATTGTGGTAGATATTAGAAGGTTATTAAATTTGACAAATTGATTAGATAAATAAAAAACTAAAGCATATATTTTTCATTGGATATAAAGCTGATGATGAATACAATTTCTATGGATTTTAGACACGGAATTTACCTACACAATTTCTGGAGAACCTGGTATTTACGTATTTGATGTCTCGACTCTTACCCGAAGTGTCTTAGTGTCAGGCGAATTGCTGGTACGTAGAAAATAAACCTAATATAATCTATACAATTCAATACGTGTCCTTAATTAAATACAATATTTTTCACAGGCTTTCCTGAACACAAGTAATCCTATCCTATCAGCAGACAGACAATATATTTTAGCTCCTAGTGAAGTTCAATCTGTAAGTATTTTTCTATTTTCATTGGACAACTGGCATAAACTTGGAAATTATAGATCCAGTCGTCCCTAACTTAGGGAAGGCTTCAAGCGCCTCGGTGGGGACGTATAGAGAACTGATCATGTTTAGTAATTTGGTTCTCAGTTGAATATACGCCTAAAGAAGGTTAAAATCATAATTTCAAACTGATTACATTGTGTATACGAACGTCTTACAAGCCAAATCATTAATCATACGTAATTAGGGCTTCATTCTGTTTACTGAGAAATCTTTAATTACGACCAATAAAACAATGTGCAAAAAAGACATTCAAAATTATTCTTTAAAATGATAGTGTTAAATAAATTAAATATTTACTGTGAAAAGGTTTTAAAATAGAAAATAAATAGGAATGTTTTTCCAACTTTTTCTTACATAAAATTGAAATTGATAGGAGTGTAAGATATATACAAATTATACAAGGTTTTATTCATATGGTAATAAATAATTTTATCACGGTGTAGTAAAACATATAATGATAAAGTTATCTTTAATATTATCTTAATCTATCTGCTGTTTATTATGCGGTATTATCCGTCAAAACTAGGAATTAAAAATTCAAATAACTTTTGCGATCATTTACACGTGGATATAACTCCAAAATTTCGAACAAAATGAATTAATAGGCGTCGCCCGCAACTCCCTCCGCGCGGTAATAAAAAAATAGAAGTATCTTATGTGTTCTTCCTGACTATTTTATACATCTATGCCAAATTTCAGCGTGATCCGGTGAGCCGTTCCGGGGATATCTTAAAACACGCCTATCCATATAAACATTAGCATTTATAATATTAGTAAGAAGTAAGATAATATTAGTAAGATTAAAAATGAAGATTTTTTTTCTGGAGACGTAGCGCTCCTCTTATAATAAGCCCTTCAATAAATTATGTGTAAATTTATGAAAAACGGATCTTGAATATACCAATGTAAAATGGGATAAGTCCTATTTACATCTCCATTAATAAAGTGTAATTCAAAAACATTATGTTACGTTAAACATTACGTTTCAGGTTTACAGATATTCAACTACAGCTCGTTTCGCGCTTTACGAAATAGCTACTGGGTAAGGTCTCTATAATTCTTCATAACTAAAAAATAAATAGGAAAATAATCAATTGCTCTCAGAATATAGTAAGGAAATTTTATGTACCATTTTAGGAACGTGACATATATAGCAAACCACCAGCGTCTTCAGCTATGTATTTTCGGCGGCGGTCACTCTTTAGCCTATGTACTGGATAACAATGTCTACTATCTCCCCGAGGACTCCGCACAAGCTATACAGATCACCAATGACGGAATACCGGGAGTTATTTACAATGGCCACACTGATTGGGTCTACGAAGGTAATGTATTATAATCATAATCGACAACACAAGAATGTTTTTTTAATTATTTGTCCGTTTATAAAGTTTTTTGGAAGATAGTAAGCACCGTTGTTTACCAACGGTGAGATTTGTATTCCTGACATTCAACTCTCATCTTTGGTAAAAAAATAAAAAAACACTTTTTTTAATTTGTTTAACATAAATTGACGTCATTAATACAGAGGATGTGATGTACACTGGTCAAGCGACGTGGTTCTCTACTGACGGCTCATACTTGGCTTTTGCCAGCTTCAACGACACTGAGGTTGAAGCGTATTCATATTATTACTTTGTGGATAAGACTGACCCTGATGATCTTTATCCAGAACTCTTTGATCTGAAGTATCCTAAGGTAAGTACACTGTTTATTCTGTTCAATATAAAGCGCGCTGTTTGTATTTTGCAGTATAAATAAAGTGTTCATAACATTTCAGGTGGGTCGTACCAATCCTACTGTTAACTTGCGTCTAGTAAATTTGACGGATCTCGTAATAACAAACCAAGTACGCTGGGAAACTCTGGCTCCACCGACAGCGGTCACTGAAGACCACATCCTGGGTGGTGTGGTGTGGCCCACTGCCAACGAGGTTGCCGCGCACTGGCTTAACAGACGACAGAATTATACTGTGCTCAGAATTTGCAACGTTAATACTGGTTTTTGTGAGGTAAGTTTAACAAAATGTTCTCTTAATGTTTCTCATTAGGGATAAATCTATATTTATTTATGTTTACTTGTATTCAGGAAGAACACCGTCAACAACCGAATGGTTGGGTTCCTATTGCGTTGCCCCGTTTTAGTAGAAATGGCGATTTCTTCGTCTCAACTCGATGGTCCCTCGAGCAGGCGGATGGTAAAATATGGCAGCACCTCTACGTGAGCATCCGTGTAAATGGACAGATTATATCCAGCTCCATCACACCTGGTGGTTTTACTGTCAATAATTACGTTGGAATGGATGAGGATAACCTATCTTAGTGAGTATACAGATGATCTTTTAAATTCTTTTAAACAACGGTTAGGAAAATAGGTGACCAAATATGAACTTCTTTATGACTCTTGAACGAGCACTTTTAATTAAAATAATTTACCCTAAATAGTTGAACATTTTGTGTGAGTGTTATAAAAGTATTTCTTCGTTTAGTTACTACACCAGAACGGTTGCCGGGGCGCCATGGCAATCGCAAGTGCACGTGTCGGGGGCACGCGCTGAGTGCCTCAGCTGCAATATCCAGTTGCCAGACGGCGGCCGCTGCACCTGGGCCACGGCTACAGCCAGCCGCGCTGGCTCCTACCTTACCATCACCTGCTCCTCTACCAATGAACCTTCCGCGACATACCTCGTTGATCCTTTGGTATGACTAACTCTTAACATTTTATCTTTAATATTTGTGACAATATTTGACGTTTTCTCGTCAAAAGTAGAGTCTAGATTAGAGAATAAGATGATATTCTGTGAAATGTCAAATATAGCTTTAAATTTTTACAGAATAATCGAGTGCTATTTACTTGGGAAGACAATGCTATTGTCCGCGAGCGTCTGAGGGAAAAGATCCGACCGAACAGTATGATCTTCACAGTGCCTTTGCAAAATGGATACCCAGCTCCGGTTCGCCTTTGGTTACCTCCCGGTTTAAACGTCAATGATACCAACACTAAATATCCCATGGTATATTACGTTTACTCAGGTCCCAACACAAACACAGTTTTTGATACTTTCACCGTTGGTAAGTATGCGTTTGGATGTCTACACCTTTAATCCTCGTTAAATGGTTTAAATATTTCGAAAATACTGACGATAATTATAAGCATATTGAGTTTTTTCATATTTTGTTAGGTTACTTTTCATATCTGACAACGAGCCGCAACACAATATACATGTTAGCGGACGGTCGCGGCTCAGGCCTCAACGGGCAGGACATATTGTACTCCCTCAACAATGCCCTGGGAACTGTCGAAGTTGAAGACCATTTTGTCATTTTGAGGTTATTATTTTGCGTTAAATTAACACAACTTTACTATTGTACAGTATCTTAATAATATTGTTGTTTGGACGAATGGATGGATAGATAATTGTTAGAAGCATGTACCGCTGAAATTTGTCATAAATGCAGAACATACATAGTATGGAAGGACAGACAGGCTACTAATTAATATGTTTTTCTTTATTTCGCGAGGACCGAGTCGCATACGACAACTAGTAGCATGTAAATGTATCACCAACACATATTACCTTAATACAAGGTGAAATTAATACAGTGAAATGCAAATATAATATAAACACAAAAAGTATGCGGGTTGTAATTCACATTTTATCATTGTTTGTAACTTTTAAGTATATAGGTTAAAATAATAGAAACAGCAATTACTGGAGACTATTAATATTTCATATCAAATAATTTATGTTAAAATGGAATTAAATTTATCTTACTTACTTACGAATATTATAATTGCGAATGTTTAGATGGATGTGTTTGTTGTTACAAGGTCAAACTCAACGATCTTGATGAAATTTATCACAGATGTATAGGTCACAATCTGGAAGAACATATAGGCTACTTATTATTTTTTTAACCACGCTTACGGGTTATAAAGTGTATGAATATAGTTTGTAGGTTACGTAAGTATTCAGGCTAGAGTGAATGTGATTGCAGACAAGTGCTCGACCGGTATGAGTTCATTGACCGCGAGCGCGTGGGCATCTGGGGCCACAGTTACGGCGGGTACGCCACGCTCCTCACTCTGGTCCATGATGATGACCATCTCTTCCAATGTGGAGTCTCCACAGCTCCAGTCACATCATGGCTTTATTACAGTAAGTAAAACTTGACTATTTAAGCAAAAGTGATACATTTACCAAAGTAAAAAAAAAGGATTTCTCCAACTTTTTGTAGGGAAATTACGTTTTCCATTTTTTCCTGTCTTTTTTGTGATACATTCTAATTTGTATAAAAGAATTAAATATATATTTTTAAACCCGATTTAAAAATAACCAGATACTTTTTTGGCTACTTCTTCTATCTTCTACCTTTTATTTAGACACGATGTACACGGAACGGTACATGGGACTGCCGACTCCTGAGGACAATCTGTCAGGATACGAGGCCGGTGACGTCACTCTGCTGGCAGAGAAGCTGCGCGGCCACGACTTCTACTTGATGCACGGCAATGCTGATGACAATGTGCACTACCAGAACGCGGCCAAGCTGATGCGGGCGCTGCAGGAACGCAATATACCCTTCCAGCAAATGGTTAGACGTTTAGTTTTATTATCATATAAATGTTTACGATAAAGATATAGGGGTGCGAACAGTCTTTGTAACTAATAATTCCAATTAAGTTTAAGTGTTTATTTTTACATAGAGGTTAGCCGCGTCACTGCCCGTATAAGTCTAGGCCAGTGGAAATTGGATCTAAGTTTGAACTGGAATATAGTTGACGAGATACACTACACTTGTATTAGCTTTTTTAATAATCCCCAATATGGCGTGTCCTTAACTTTTTCGCAATAATGAAAACATACATGCTTTTCAGTAGGTTATTTATATTTAACACCAAGCAAATAACTGCAATAAACCTCGCGTTTTATTTAGTAAACAATAGTTTTTAAAGGTTAGGTTTAATTTTCAGATACTAAAAGAGTATATATCATTTTTATACACGCTGTCTTTTCAACGTTCTCCTTCACTTTGCTGTAGAGTGTAGAGTCTCAAGTCCGCTCTCAAATTGGCACTCGACGCGTTCTTGTCTCGTCTCTTGGTGGTGCTATATCTATGGGAGTATCGGAGCTGCACGTCAGACACAATTTATATATTGTTCTAAGCTACTGCCTATATATTAGCTTTTGTTACTGTTACATAGAAAAATACATTCTTATGGGTTTCGATTGACCAGAGTTATCCGCAGACATCCGGAACCCTATGAGTCTATATGTTGTACAAAAAAGACTTGATAAGAAAAATGAGTCGGAAATTGCTGTAAGAATGTTGTAAATGGACGAAGAAAAGTGTCGAGTAGTTTTACTAATATTTTTCCTTTCTTCATTTATATTGTGGAGTAGCTTTTATTAACCTTGTTGAATCTTTTATAAGTTACATTGAAATAAGTGTTTGTAATATTAAGACATTTAAATCAATTTGATTATCGGTGACAATGAACAATTAGTATTCATTAGAAACCTTATCAACCTGTTTAAAATTCAAAATGCGACATTTGAAAATGTAATGAAAACAAATCACAAAATCAGAAACTGTGTAAATAACAATTGATTATACACTATTCGAATAGTTGCTATGAGGCGAGGCGATATAGAAAATTATTTTTACACGTTTCAATGTGTGATGCTGTTTTGTTATAAATGCGTGATTTTAGATAATATTTAATAACTAGAACTGAATTCAAGCATGCGTGAAATAACGCATGTGCGTGAAATTGTGAATGCGTATTATGTTATTAGAGTTTCTTTTGTTAGGAATTCAAATATATTATTTGTAATAAATAATATAAAATGGAGAAAATACATGAGAGTTCTTAGTAGGTAACGCCATTTTTTTTTAAATTTTATAACCTGGTAACATAGACCTTTAGGTCATATCTTATTTGGAGGTATCGCCAAGCATGGCTACAGTCCACAGAGTATATTTTATTAAAAGAGTGTTTTTGTAATCTGTCTTATAATTAGTGCAACTGTCATTCTTGATCATGCCGAAATCTATAGTGAGAATAAGGAAGTTTTTCTTCCAACTCCCCAAGTCGGAGCTATATTTTTCGCATGTCATACCTTTCACAAGTGAATGCACTAAAACTATTAGTAATTTTAATGATCTATACTTAATAACTAGTTTTAAATATCGCCGATTTTAACAAATATATCTGACATAAGGAAATGTCAACTAAATAAAAATGTTGCCATAAACACCCAGCCAGTCCTAAAATTAGAATCTTAATTGTAGATTATAAAAACAGCGTGATTATGATGAATATATTATGTTTTCTTTTGTTATAAACCCATCATATTTCTGTCAATTTTACTACAGTGCAATCAAAACTTTATAACAGCTCGCAATTTCGTAAAAGACGGTGCTGCATACAAGACAATTTTAGGTACATATGCTGTTGCGGATGTCCATGGGCGTCAGATTAAATGCATGTTTGTCCCCTTCTCCTATAAAAAAATATATTTGAAGAAAGTAAAGGTATTCCTTCAGACGCATTGAGCATAGCTGGTACTCATCTGTAAAACTCGCAGCTAATCACAAGCCCTTATAAAATTATTCGCCGTTATTTAATGCTAATTAATTATACCAATGTACTATGTGTATTTTTAACTGCTTATTTACTTTTACAGTCTTACCCGGACGAAGCGCACAGTTTGGCCGGAGTGAACATGCATAGATACGGAACTATGAATCGTTATTGGGAGAAGTGCATACGTATGCCGCAAGAACAAAACTAACTTACAACTTTACTAGCCGTTGGATCCTGAAATCAAAATTTTGAAACGTTACAGATGATTTTTTTTTATCGTAATTAATTTTGGTCTCAGAAACCGACGGTAAGTTATTACTGTTGATATAAATTAAGTTATTTAATAGGTCTATTCCGTGTTGTAATAAAAACAGGTTATAATTTTTAACTTATCAAGTTAAATAAGAGTTATAGCATAATGCGATATTGGTTGTTTATCAAATTATTTAATTACGTAACATTACGTTTCTGAACTGCAAAAGACTAATTTGACTTGAAGACATGTATGTCTTGGTGTTTATTTAACAAGCTTGAGACAAATGACAGACAGACAGACATGTTAAACCTATTAACCTATAATAATCTTTTTCCCAAATATCCAACTAATAAACAACGGTTAAATATGGTTTATTGAATAACTGTATTAAAACTTGTTTGCCTCCGCATAAATTGTATTGTGGTCGAAATTTGTGATTAATTTAATTATCAATTAAAATATTTTTATACCATAACGATGTTTTATTTCATCAATTTAATAATGAATTCGACAATAACAACGCGTGTTTACAATTTTGCGTTATTATATTTACGTAGCGTCTCGAATTGTGTTAGCAGAATATGTTATTACAGTCAAACAATTCAAATAGTATTCGTATTCTTCTAACTGTGAGTTTCTACTGACGAAATAGCTATACAAAATATTATATATGTAGCTCTGTGCCTTTAGGCAGTACTACAATGGAAAAAATATAAAAAAAATCTCTGTGATATTATAAATGCGAATGTTTAGATAGATGGATGGATGTTTGAAAGTATCTCCAGAACGGCTGCATGGATCTCGCAGTAATTCGGCATAAATGTAGAACACAGTCTGGAAGAATGCATAAGCTCCTAATTATAAAAAAATCCTTCTGTTATAAAAAAAAATTAAGTTTTTTTATACCAGCTAGTATCCAATAATTTTGTATCAGAAAATTACCAAGCTGATTTTTTATATGGCATAAGTAGTCCAAAGTTGTAATGTAAGCCACTTAAAAAGTTTCTTTACCTACAAGGGGACAAAAGACCTAAAGTCAAAGAGTGCCTTTTGATTATGTAAAAAGATTGTTAAAATGTTTGCAGTGAAGCATGCCCCATAAAAAATGTCTGATTTTGTTATAAAAGTTTTGTCGAAAAAATTTTAACAGTTGAAGTTGCTAATTATTTATCTCCAAATGTTTACATTAAATTTTAATATTAAGAGATAATTTAATACTTTAATTTATATTCGATAGGATTATAAATATTAATAAATTGCCATGAAACAATCCCTTGTCCGATTGTAACATATGTATCCACACTGCCAGAGAACAAGATCACATGTTCTGTTCCAATTTAATGCGTAAATTTTGTTATGCTCAAAATGAGATAATATATTTTTCTTTAAAATAAAATTATTTAACACGACCGCCGCCTCGAACGGCGCCAAAAGTGAAAGGAAATATTAAGGATCTCGATTACACAATATTTCTATATACAGTATGATTGTAAATTTAGTACAATTAAAATTATATCAAAAAGATTCTTTAAAAAAAAGTTTCGAGTTGCTTAAATGTATTATAGAAATTCTTTTATTGGCATTATTGTCCGTATGATAATATTATCAAATCATTTATCATTATTTGCTTTGCATCCAAACTTATGAACGTGACTTATCATTCAAATGTTACCAAAATCAACAATCATTGGCACTCATTGTTCCAAATTCAATGAGAACCCACTATATTATTACAAGCTATGTAAATAAATATTTAAAGTATTGATTACTAATCTTCATGTGATTTTGGATTTTATTTTTAAATGGCATAGAAACTTTTTTGTATTCCTTTGTAGAAACAAGCAATGTCGAACATGGATAAGCGAGAGTCTAAAATCTCTATATTTTTCTAGCTTATAGAGGTTTTTAGGCGTCGATGGCTGAGTGTTTAAGTAAGACTTGCAATCTGCAGATCCTGGATTTGATACCGCAATGTACCAATGTGTTTTACGAATTTCTCCGAGACCCTTAGTGTGGACGTATAGTCAGCTGATGATGGAGGTTTTTCTCTGTGTTTATCTTATGGAGGTCGTCTACTGGACCGGACAATGACTTTCGCTTATCCAGGTTATCCTAGGTTAAAGGAAGGGTTAAAGATACTTTGAGGTTTTTTTTTTAAATAAACTAACTATATTATACTAGGAAAATAATATCTAAGTCGTTAATCGATAAATCTAAAAGATATATTATAAATTATATCATAAATATTAATTTATTGTGTCCTTTTTAAAATACATTCGTGTAACCAGTATCATATTTCCTGTTTTTTTTTTTTAATTCAAATCAAAGACTATATAGAACATTTAAAATGTTATAGTTCATCATGTTAATTAACTGTTCGAGTGATCTACATTTTTATAGAACCTGTCAAATTCTTTATTAAAAAAAGAGTATGAAGTTTCCCAGTCGACCTTGAATTTTGTATCGAAGCTGTCTGGTCGTTGGCACTGTTTAACTATGAATTGAATGGTGACGTAAGTAATGACGAGACTTGCGCCATTTTGGATTATGTCAGCACGTGTTATACAACTGCTTTCAAATGTCGGATTCGCTACAATGCACTGTTTGAAGTGAGTGACCCGTGGCTGTCTACTGTTAACAATGTACTCGTATAAATCATAAATATTGCCATCCCTATCATTCTATCTGCAAAAACAAAGACAACAACATGTTTTACAAGTTTTAGGGAAATTAACCGTGAAATGCTGTTGATCCCGTTTGCAATTATTGCCGAACAATATTAGTTAAGTTTCGTCTAAGTTCATCTAGAAATCAGTAATGTTTTTGAAATAATTGACTTCATAGCAGTAGTGCGTAGTATAGACTTCTATTCATCACCATGATTTTCCATTTCCTTTTTATTATTTACTTGTTGTCGCCCGCGACTCCGTCCGCGCGGAATTAAAAACTATTCGTTGTAGAGTAATGTTTTATAGCCAAAAGCCATCCTCTATAGATGAACTATCAACCAAAAAAAGAATTTTTCAAATCGGACCAGTAGTTCTTAAGATTAGCGAGTTTAAACAAGCTCTTCCGCTTTATAACATTAATATAGATGTACTGCATTGAATATAATTTTAAAGAGTATGTTATAATAATGGGTAGGTAAATACCTAATATCACCATCACAACGCTTAAGTTCAAGGACTAAAATCCTGTTACACATGTGGTAGGACAGTGACCGCTTTAACTTACATCAAGGTGTCTATTTGTTAAGTTTGTATCTAGAGTTTTTAATTCCATTTATTATAATTTAAAATTCATTTTAATTAAACCTTTTAATTTTTGCATTAATATAACAATACGCAGAAGTATTTAATTGAATGAAAACTTCGTCAAGTTTGTCGACTGTTGTCGAAATACATTACATTGGAATAGGTTTTAAAACGTAATGAGTACTGTTGAACAAAGACCTCGTTTCTATACAGGCGGCTATTTCACATGTCCTTCAAACAATTTATCCTGACCTCTTAGTTTGATTCGCAGCAAAGATAAAGTGTAGATACTTCGTGATTATACGTCGATCACTAAGCGTCCAGCTTGATAGAGATTGACCACATTTTTTTTTAATGTAATTTGTTCTTACTAAAAAGTCTATGCAAGACTGTTTACTAAGAAATTAGACAGAAATTAGAAAGATTGAGAATCACAGTATGAAAGCAATAGATCTGATGTATTAATTTCTATGTTTTATCTTTGTGTTGCTATCCAATGTATAATGAAAAATACGAAATGCTCTGTATAGCACTAAATAGAAAAGGTCATAGTCGTGAGCTAACGTTCGAATGCTCCATACCTCCAGTGCGTCCTGAATTCCCCTGTCATAACTTATTAACTCAATATTCACGATAGTGCAAGCGAAGGCTATATTTAGCGGTATCCTGTCAGGGCACAGGGAATCATCGTATACCATAATTATGTGTTCTTCACCGTAGTTATATTTTTTCGTATAGGTGTCGTTGGAAACTCGAGGCAAGTATGTAAGTTTTATTAGTAAACAGGATAATTAATATCGAACTCGTGGCTTATATTAAAATAATTGTAAATAGAGCAAATTGATTTAATTACTCTTAGGTATTATTAGAAACAATTTAATTACTTAACTATTAAAGTACCAGTGCAATAATTGATAGACCTAAGAGAAAATTTGGTGGCTTTTGACCTGATTGTAAAATTAACTATAGGTTGTTAAAACCTGTTTTGTTTTTGTGCTTGCTTCATTGTACTCGTGAGGCGAATGCGCGCGCGCATTTTAGGTTTAGTCTTTTAGTCTGTGAATGATTGTGTCAGTGAGTGTTCACGCGTCTCGCGTGTTGCTTGTCACTCGGTTGCGCGAAATTTTCGTCGTCTGTGCGTTGTGTAGTTGTAATGTTTAGATGTTCTGAACTCGTTTAACTCTAATTGAAGAGTTGTTGTGCTCATCCCGTGACTAGATTTATAATAACATACTATGGTAAGTTGTATGGCCCTCAAATGATTTTATAAAGAAAAATTATAGACTGAGAAATCTAATTTTACGGTTTTTATAGCGTTAAATTTAAATTATTTACTTTTCATTTTACGAGTGTTTTCAGTACTCGTGTCCAGGGACAAGACAGTGACTTAATGTAGCAGATATCTTCATCTTATGCTATAGTTGTGTTGTGCAACTGATATTTTTGTACAATCTACCTTTTCTAGTATTATTTGAGCCATTTTTTCTTTCGTCACTTTTTGTGTGTTATTCGCGAAAATGTTTTTGTTTATTATGTTTGTTGGCGTTGATATAGCGATAAATTCAAAGATAAAATATTATTTAATTGTTTACTTAGCCTTTGACATTAAATAGAAAAGATGACGTTTTAATAACTTTAAAGCAAATAAATTTGTGTATACCTACTTATGAAGATTATTATTCTCTAAGGAATTGTTAGAATATTTTAATTTTAGTACTTATAAGTAGGTATTCAATATATTTCAATAATTTAATTACATATTATATCGAGTTAGTAGGAAAATACAATTGTCTAGATGTCGACCTTGACGTAAAATTGAAATAAATTGCTTAGGTCAAGCACCTACTACGCCATTTGACGTAATTGTAGTAAATATATGTAGTTGGTATATGTTGATGATTGTCCTGGACATATCTACCTACACATACATAGATATACAATTTGTCAATTCTTTGGTGAGCCTTACTGTACCAATACTATCTTTGCCTATCTTCTTGACTAACAGACTAGATAAACCAAATCGTGTATCCGTCTAATATAACCGCCGCCTAACAAATACAAAGCCTTATTTTAGCAAACTTTAAGTACGGATCGCGAGATTTTTAGATTAAATTTCATATGTTTTTGGGTTCCGTATCTTCGAATAGAAAAAAACAGAACCCTTATAGCACTTTGTTGTCTGTCCGTCTGTCTGTCAAGACTCTTTTTTTTCTAATTTAAATAGAAATTATTCTACATTACGAATTATAAGTAGGATGTTGCAGTATTGCAATCACGTGCGTGTTTTTTTTTAATTTATGGTAATCAATACTGAATCGTCTTTACACAAATCGATTTACGTTATTCTAACTTTTTTATTTTTTTGCAATCTGTACGTTGCGCGGAATAATTTAGTTACTAATGTAATTTTCCGACCTTGACATATGATTTCCTGATATCAATTTCTTTTGAGAAATTCAAAACATTTCTTAATTAACACATTAAAGTAATTCCATGACTATACAAACAATAAATATGTGAACGTTACGGTGCATTTCCACGGTTGTCGATATTTGCTATCTCTCTCATGCTCTATAAAAAACAGAGATAACGATAGTTGAAGTACACAGTTAAATTAGCTTATTAGTTAAAGAATTAGCGATGTGAGCACTTTATATAAATATTCTAGATTTGGAACTTCAAATGACAAGGGAAATTGATAGATTGGACCCGCCGTCGCAATAGTGCGTTAATGTTCAAATAAACTCTGCGATTGGTTAGCCGATTGTCCTCATTAAATTACTGCTCAAAGCCCTTAGTCGTACGTTCAAACGCTCTATTTGATCCTGGCGATACGACCAATGATAACGTAATTTTTGCAATATGACATGTTCTGCTTTTTACGACGAAAGACTAAAAAAAAGTGAAATTAAGTTACTGGTAATTTTACTGTTGAATAGTTAAGCCGCCGATTCAACGGGGTTAGACAAAATGCATTAGCTTCGAGGCGATTCCATACCGAATTTCAAGAATGTATCAAACTGATAATAATTTTCGATAAGTCATGTGATTGTCGCGCGTCAATATCAGACATTCTTGAAATTCGTTATGGAATCGCTTGGAAGCGAATGCACTTTATCTAACACACCTAGGATTTGAAACCAATCTTTATGTAACGATATTTAGGAAGACGTCTTGAAGAAGAAAATTACTTCATAATCGTATGTTTGATGTCAAGTTGTGCTCCCAATTTAGAAATAGCCAATGTAACGAAATGCACCACGCATACATAAACATTGTATGCATACGTCCATTAAATAGTCTCTTTGATTACACAATTAAGGAAAACAATAGAAATATTAAGGAGTATGTTAATTATTTTGTATACTATAAATAACAAACAGAATATTGTTTTGTTGTGTTTTTCTCTTTGTGTTCTTTGTTATCTTTTCCATTATTATTTGTATACAATAAAATTCTTAATACAAACGCAACAAACAGTGTGTCTATTATTAACAAAATTAAATGGAGTTATAATATACATTTGACTTATATGCCATTAGTCAGAAATTACCCAGTTTTTTTTTCATATGCTTTCCTTATTTTGTGTTAAAAACATCCGGGTAGGTTTCTTGGAAATGAAATAATTCTAAGAAAATATGCTACACTTATTTTGTTTCGAAGTTTTGTTGTTTTTTTTAAGCCGACCGTGGCTTCCCAAGGACATCTATGTAATGCGAAGTTTAATAAACCTAAAAAAGAAAGTCTACGTCATTGTTGATAAAAATCTATGGTTGTACTTTTTTGAATACTAAATGGTTTGGTCGCTATTTGAATTTTCTCGTTTACGACCCTACATATCACCACTTTTTACCACCAAATTGTACAGGAGTTAGCCAATTTTGACTGATTTGTTTTGAAAATTTACTCCTCGCACTGTTTTAAATACTTCTGAATCATTCAATGATTTTAAAAGCCATGTTCTAAGCTGATAAAACATGTCAATTTTTTGATGATGCTTTCGTGTTACAGGCACGCGCGTTTGTAATATTGTTATCGCTCACACTGATGGGATGTCTCACAGAGTCCTCCCTCTACACACCGTTTGTTCCTAAAACATTCAATTTAGAAGAAATCGTGCCTTTACAGCCCGATTTTTATCCAGAAAGGGTGCAAATAAATTGGATCTCAGGTAAGTGAAATTTTATGAAATGTAATACATAAAATCTCTCAGCTTTAAGTTAATATGTCATAACATACATACGAAAATTACAAAATATAGTACTTTAAAGATGGTCCTTTAGATATATCTTCAAGCTTTATTTTCAATGATTGTGAATATTTTTTTTTTTATTTTTTTTATAATTATTATCAAGTAAATTCTCACCTCTTTGTGTATTTACTAATGGAAATTACATGTTGTTATTTCGTTTTATGGCTTAATGCATACATGCTAATTTAATGTCTCAAGTTCTTGACATACTTTTGTGGCAAAGCATATTATCATCTCTCTCATTTTCCTTAAAAAAATAGAGATATCGATATGTCCTGTACAGGCGTATCAACAGCTATCATATCTCTTATAAATCTATCCAGGGAGCTCAGAACTTTTTATAACATCTACTGTATAACTTTAAAAATATTTTAAATGCAAATATTCTCTCTTCTTCTCTTTCCATAAACTTACTCCGAAACATGCAACAGGCAAGCAGTCATTCACCTATATGTCTGTAACGGCCTTTATTCATTAATAAAAAGCGTACATAAATAAATATTCAATCTGCAATTACTTTTATGTCAGTATAAAATTGATATTCCAAAATAAAAAAACGCATTGAATTCTTTATATTGCATGTCTCGATGTAACTGTATGGGACGGTTTAAGTCGCTTGTGGGTTTTTATGACCCGCGATGGAATGCATTTTGTGAGTCTACAAGATCCGTTACAATCTTTCCTTGAAGGACGATGCGTGATTCATATCGAATTAACCTAATTTTATAAACGAGTATTTCGCGAACATTTTATTGCTTATTTTTTTCTGCACGAGGAACGTCAGACAAATTCAAAATCAGATTTTATTTTTTGTTATAGTTGTTTATACAGACATGAAGATAATAATGATCAAATAACAATATGATTTTAACAGTGGTAGAGCCCGCTTTAACATCTTCGCACAAATCGGCCCGGCTCGCCGGCGACAGGCGTGAAGTGGAAGCAATTCCGTGTTTCGTCTGATGAGTGTGCGTCCCGGTGGCCAAAATTAGTCCTCTTTCCCTTCTCACCCTTTTTCTTATAAGGAAAGGATGGTAAGTGGAAGTGGACTTTCCGGATGAGAGGATGCATGGAAATGTTTTCTTTCTGTGCATCCTCTCCTCCGTCGATTAAAGGTAGGCAACGCATATGCAATTGTGTATGTCTATGGGCAACGGTCACTTCGCTATTTCAGCGATTTCAGTTGGCCGCTCGCTCGTTTGCCACCTTATAATATAAAAAAAAACAAGAATAAATGATTGATATATTTTAATATATTTCCAGATACAGAGTATATAGTAAGGGAACATCACAAGGATTTTAGAAAATATGACGCCACAACGGATACTTTTGTGACTATATTAAATGAAAGTGACTGGGTAAGTGTTATATATATTTTGTATCTACTATTGTTCATATAATTGCAATAGTTACTATAGTTATAATACCCTTAATACGCACTTAATAACCTTAGCTTAAATAAGAGTTACTGAATGTTACTAATAGTTAGTAATATATGTCTCAAGAATTTTCTAAGAACTTGGTCGAGAATGACTTTGCTTAATAATTAAGTCTTACTTACAAATATTGTAAATGTATAATTTTTATTTACTTTTTATCACGTAAATTATTGAAATATCCGTGTGTGTTATTATGATGCTGAACATTAAAACAATGTGTTGTGAGAGTAATTCGTGATGAGGCGAGAAGCTGATAATAATTCAGAAATCTTCCCACAATGTAATCCTCAGTCATTCACTACAATTCAAATTGAATACCTTTTGTTCGCAGATCAATTTGAACCATTATGCTGTGTCGTCGTATTCAAAAGACCTTAAATATTTTTTGCTGGCTGCTAACATGACTAAGGTACGTAATGGTTCTACCCCATACATTTTAATCTTGCTGAATTTGCTGGAAGATAAATGAACACTTAGTTTCTTGTTAAATTTAAATTTGTATTGAAATATGTACAGTCGAGGAAAATTATTTCCTTACCATTTTAGTTAGAAATGTTATTTGACGTTCACAATGTAATTAGATCAAAACTTATGCATACAAGCCAAATCAAGCTCTCATGGTGACATTTTGATATGTGATATTCGATCGTAATTATGAAACAAATTTAATTCTTTG